GCAGTATACCACATTAGCAGATGTGCAGGTGAACATCTGCTTGATGTGGGGAAAGGACCAGCTGGTTACTGCAGAGTGCCCATCACCCCATCTCTCAGATGATGAATGAGTGCTCTTCCATGTGGAACAACACTGTGAGAAATCTCTGAAACCAGCAGTCTATTTCCAGATGTGAAGTTCCATGGTGGTTACTGAGACTGAGTTTTAAGATGGGTTTATATTTGCAGAGTAGCTGGGATTAACCGTTCTATGTTTTGCAGAGTGTGATTTTATCAGCGATGAGATCTTTACTGCACTTGTCCGTGCGCTCATTCGGGAGTCAGATGATGAAGTTAAGCCGACAACTCCCTCTCGCACGAACAGCCGACGGAATATGAAACAAGGACAGGATGAGTCGCTGTGCAGTGATCAGAATGCCGAGGACGGTGAGTTTTAACTGATCTATCCTAATGAGAGTTTGTCTTATTCACTGTCAGCAACTTGGTGTCACTGCCTAAGTCAGTGTTTATTGCTCATCCCTAACTGCCCTCGGTAATGCCACCTGCTGCCACCACTGCAATCCTTGGGGTGTTGGTACCCTCCACAGTGCCATTAGGGAGAGCATTCTGGTAGTTTGACCCAATGAAGAAATTTTTTTAAAAATGGAATTCTTGCAGAGCTGATTGAAAGGAGCTGCAGCAAGGATTGGATTCAGGTCTTTCAGGGATTACATTGAACAGCTGGTTCTTGGAGAGAGAGATTCACTGTGTCTTGGCTTTGTCAAAGTTGCTTTTCATGAATTGCTGTTTGTGGGATCTTGCTGTGCTTAAATTGGTTGCTGTATTTCCTATATTACAACAGTGACAATACAGATGGTTTGCAGGGACCCCTACCCAGGGGTAAATCCCCTGTGTGAATCACTAGCCCCTCCAGTCCTCCTTCTCCTTTCTGTCTCCCTCAGTTGGTGGGTTGAACTTTGCTCTGGTTCTCTCTGGCTTCAAGCTCCTCTAGCTGCCTATTGTCCCAACACAGCAGTCTCTCCCCACCCTTCCCAAACCACAGTGACAAGGGTGGTATCCATCTACCCCACTCTGGGGCAATTCTGACAGCAGCTGAGACACTACAAGTCATTTTCTCCCTGATGGTCATTATTCTGCTCAGAAGGCAGTGGAAGCTGGGTCACTAGAGGCAAATTAAACTGATCTCTAATAGACAGAGAGAGGTGGGCGATGCGTCCAGACAGAAAAGTGCAGTTAGACCACAAGCAGGTCAGCTAGGATCCTACTGAATGGTAGAGAGGTTTGGAATGGCCTATTCCTGCTTTGAATCCTATGTTCCTGTGAATCAAAGCCCCTTTAGAACAATGAAAGAAAGTTCAAGAGACAGAGAGCAGTCAGAGGAGTTTGTTGAGATTGGGCTTCGAGGGGATCGGGGTTTGGCTTTTCCAAAGTTCAGGGAGGCTGTAGGTGAGGTTGAGGGAATGGAGGAAGCACTGAACTTCCCTTGGTTCCGCACGGATTGGGAAGGACATTTGTCTGCAATTCACTGGCAATCCCCATTTCACACGTTCCTTTGACACTGGAATCTCCGATTGCAATGTGGGAGTGTGACTTCAATCCTGTAATGAGGTGTCCAGACCATCAAATGTAAATGTAATTCACATCGCTTCCCCAACAAAGCCCACACCCTCGGACCCCACAGCAGCGTGTCAGTAATGGGGAGGAGAGGGGAGAATGGCATATTTGACATACAGAATGATTAATATTAAAATTCATTAATTCAGATTAACAACCCAGCTTGTGCTGGCCTGGAAGTATTTGTTGGCTGTTTGTCCCTTTAACCGTGCTCTCACTGCATGTTGCAGGGACTGAAGAGAGGTCCAACAGAAGGCTCCCTCCCGACAAGATCTTCAAAGCCATCGCCATGATGTTTCCAGACAGGGGCTCTTCGAAGGACCTGAGAGAGAAGTGAGTTGAATCCATCTTCCTGTGCACACTCACCATCCCCAGCCTCACCTTTATCATATTTTCCCCTTCCAGAGGAAAAACAGTAAACAGTAGTGAACAGTGGATGATAATGAACAGTGAACAGTAATGCTTGAGATAAATGTACTATTGTCCTGGAGCTTCAATGGTATCTAGAGGGTGGAACAGAGCAATACATGTCATTTGCAAGGTCAGAAATCACACGACACCAGGTTAAAATCCAACAGGTTTATTTGAAATCATAAGCTTTCAGAGCATAGCCCCTTCATCAGGTGATGTGAGAGAGAAAGACACAGGCACAGAATTTATAGGCAGATAGATCAATGGGCAGAGAGATCAATGGGCAGAGAGATTAGAAGGTCATACAAATGCTGTGAGTGGAGTGTCAACAGGCCGAACAATAGGCCAAAGATCTGAGCCTGAATGTCCTTGTCTGGTGAAGTGTTCCCCGACTGGGAGGGAACATCCCTGTCTGGTGATTGGTGCGTGGTGTCCATTTATCCATTGTCGTAGTTCCGACATGCCACTGTGGAAAACTGCAACAACTTCCTCAGAAAACAGAGACAGGATACAAAGAGTACCCTTTGTCATTCAGTATTTCCCTGGAGCGGAGAGACCATGCCATGTTCTTCACAGCCTTCAACATATCATCGATGACAACAAGCATCTCGCCAAGACCATCCCTACGCCTCCACCTCATCTTCAAACAACCTAAGGGCTCTGGTTTGTGATGAGTAATTTGCTGATTTTTAGGCGGTTCAAATCACCCCAGATCCCTGGTTCTGAAACTGGACTTACTTAGGAATGTGAAATGAAGAAGGCAGTAGACAGGTGTTTCAGGGCAAAAGAAACTCTGTGTTTATTAAATACAAAAGGTAAATATAATACAAGGAATAGGGGCAAATGTAATAAAACAGTGAAATTGACACAATCAACCATACCGAGGAAAGTAATTAAACACACTTTAAATTAAACACAGGTTAAACACTATTAGAAGCTAAACAGCAGTTTTGATCACAGAAACTTTAATCTTTCTACCCTTGGGGTCCCTATGTTGTCACCACTCATCCTCCCCTCCCTGCTAGCTAAGTTGGAAACTTTGGGGTCTCAGGAGTTTCAGTTCACTGCTGAGGAAAACACAGTTTTAAAGTATGTCTGGTTGCTGAGGTTCTTGCTGTCAGGTCTCTTGGTTCGGAGCAGGCCTGTGTCTGGAAGCTCTTGTTCGGATAGCGGGTGGTTGGCTTCCCACCCTTTTGGATGTCCTTGTTGTGATGATGCTGTTGGTTGTCTTCCCGATTCAGCTTCTCTGTTCAGCCTCTGTGGTTCTTGGTCCTGAAGCTGCGTTTTGGGTCTGCAGCCTGTGGGAAGTTGTTCCTGGAGGAGCTTGTTGTGGAAAAGGCTCTCCCTCTCTCCCAGATCAGGGCTAGCAGTTATACAG